CGCCAACACATTATCGTCACCACGAGTTGTTCTTGACTTGTTTGTCAGCCACCAACCTGGCCACCAGCAATCGTGCATTGGTGGACAGTGGTGCCACTGCTCATTTTTTTGTTGATCGTGATTTATTTCATGATCTTGCTCCAAGCTCTGAGACCATTGTGACTGCCAACGGCGTGACGGCTGCTGAGGCCGTCGGCTCCGTGTCTTTGCTCGTGACTGATGTTGATGGTGTCTTGCGCCCCATTGTTCTTGATCGTTGCTTTTATGTGCCTTCTTTTTCTCACAACATTGTCTCGCTTTCTGCTCTTGTTGATGCTGGTTTTGTCGTGTCCTTGTCTGACTCGTCTACATTTTTGTTGAGTGATGCTGATGTCACTTGGTCTGCACCACGTGATGCAGCCAGTGGTGGCTTGTTTTTCTTTTCCTTTCTCCCAGCTCACCACCTGCACCACCAGCACCACCACCAGCAACAACAGCATGCCCATGTTGTGTCTGCTTCGCAGATGCATCGTCTTCTTGGCCACCCGCCGCGCGAAGTTTTGCGCTCCATGCTGCAGCAAGTTGAAGACACCTCGGACGTCAAGGCCATCCTCAACTGCAACGATTGCAACCTCTTCAAAGCTAAGCGCCTTGCTCTGGCTGGCTTTGATCGCGATCGCACGCCCCGCATGCCTGGTGAACTGGTCGCTTCTGACATGTTTTTTTTTTTCGCCTTGCTTAAATAAATTAGGTGTTTGAACCTCAGAGCTGAAAGCAAAGCTGTGCAACCCCGACATCAAAATCACAACGGCACGCAAAACAACACAAGAGAACAAGTTACATTTATCGGCTTCTATCATGCCGAGGAGTACAAGCGCGAAGAACCACGCACATAGAAACAAAAATCGTACAAAACGACCAAGTATAACCAGAGATACGGCCATTCCAAACACTAGTCACCCAAAAAAAGACAGGCATACATCACAAGTACAAGCATCACAGCACAAACACAAAGAACACCACGGCACGCTCACATCCAACGAGACACAACGTCGGATTGAGAAAACAACCGACCACAGAAGACAAAGACATCATACAAAGGACCTTACAAAAATTCAGCAAAAATACCACACAGATACAGCAGAAATCAAAGCAAAATCAGACAAAAATACAAGTCAAGCCATCAACAGACACAACGAGAACCACCTAGGGAGTGACAGGTGCACACAGGGATCCCCACAGAGGGACCCCCGAGGCGGTGCCTACCTACGACGAGCGCAGGCAGACACCGCCAAAGTGGCGCTGGATGTGGTCAGCGTTCATCTGATGGACCAGCGCCC